AAAGCTGCAAGTACAGCCACAACCCTCCCTCCCCCAAAAACAACAAAAACTATGGCTTATAAATCAATCAAAAATATGTCCATTGATAAGTGGCAAACTAGGTATATCCACTCTGATAAAGTTAACTTGATTCAAAACCTTATACCACAAGTAAAAGTTAAATCACAATCATTAAAGTTGGGTAAAAGATACAGTCAGACAAAAGTCAATCAAATTATATCTGGGCACACTCGTCTCAATGGCCACTACTACAAAATCAACCCTGATCTTTCCTCTCCCAACTGTGAACACTGTAATTCACCAGAAACTTTGCATCATTTCTTGTTTCAGTGCAGCAAATACAGTGCTCAGAGGGAGGTAATGCTAGCGGCTATAGACAATGTACTACTAGGAGCCAACTACAACCCAACCATAGACTTACAAACCATCACAGGTCTTAATACAAACTTAGACCGGCATATCAACACAGAAATAGTAGAACGACTACAACAGTTCATACTATCAACTAATAGAATTTAACAAATCAAACGAAACAGAGATAGTGACTCTTAAAGTCTCCAGTATAATTGAGATACTGACTCTTTTAGATAACAATGTCAAAATGCGCACTCTCAAAAGTCTATCAAAACAAGTATTAGTGAAAATTACAAGTGATATAATAGTACACAGTGAAACCAAAGTATCTAGTGACCAAAGGCAGCATTAAAGTGCCATCGTGTTAAGTACACTAACACGTAAATTGGATAAAGAAGAAGAAGAAGTGCAACCGTCACATTTAATTAAATACAATAACGTCTTTGGGAAATAAAATACCAAAGAAATTGAAAACTGCCCATAAGAATCCATGTAAATAATAAAACCAGAAGGGAGGACAACACAGGACTAACCTTACCCTCCTAAACATGATGATGATGATGATGATGATGATGATGATGATGATGATGATTTGGGCCAATGTGATTCTGATGAACGGGATTCGGATTATTGTGGCGACCCCTCTTACACTAATCAAACTAATAGTTATGAAGCTTAGTTCTGGGCCTAGGGAGCCATCTGTGTTCAGTAAGCCTATGTAGCAATGGACAACGAATAGATGGCGCGTTTTCGCGGGAAATTTTATTCACTAAAAAATTGACCCCGCTTTTATATGCAATTTTGGTCGCTCATTTTAACTATGTTAAAAGTCGAATTGCTGTTATTTCTTTCTAAAATCTGTTTAATAATTGAATGAAGTCTTCGCGCATTCTTAAGAATAGAAGAAAATCGTTTTTGGCGAGGACGAACTTCACGAGGTAAAGTTTAAATCATTTAATTATACCCTCAATAATTTTTGGTCGCTTTGATTAAGCAGTTATTTGTAAAGTTTAAAGTCTTGAGATCGTAAAAAATTAAAACTTACACTGATATATATATGCGCAAATGTAGAAATTCAACTTTTAAAGTGGCTGGTGTAATCTTCCGATTCTCATGCAAGATGGCGGCCATATTTATCTTCCGGGGTCGCGTGTCTTGCGCAAAAATAAAATCGTTAATTTTGGTTAATCTGTGTTCAATTATGGTTGTTACTTCAAATAAATGTATATTTATGAAATCAAATATGCTATTGAAAACTTCTTCATACGATGTCCGTTGAATTTGGACTTATTAGACACAGATTAAAAGATTGTTATTGTCACGTGATTAGTTTGTTGTTGTTCTCGCGATCAAGCACGTGGATCGATGTGGATAGGTTGGTATGATTATTTGACAATTACCAATGCATAATTCAGTAATTACAGGTGCCCCAATCTATTATCATCGGATAATCACTTTGACTACTTGCAGTCTCACCTCCCTTGATGCCCCATACTGTAAAAGTTTATCATTGATGACCCATATTAATGATCACTTGACGTCCCATACTATTGATCATTTGATACATGTATACCATACTATTGACCACTTGATGTCCCACACTATTGATCACTTGATGTCCCACACTGTTGATTCCTTTGATATACTATTGATCACTTGACGTCCCATACTGTTGATCACTTGATGTCCCATACTATTGATCATTTGATGTCCCATACTATTTAACACTTACTACCCCATACCATTGATCACTTGATTTCCCACACTGTTAATTATTTTATTCCCTAATACTTATTAATTACTATTGATTATTGATTGTCCAAGACTGTTGATTACTTGATATCCAGTACTGTTGATCACTTGATGTTCCATACTGTTGATCACTTGATGTCCCATACCATTAATCACTTGATGCCCCATACTATTGGTTAGTTGATGTCCCATACCACTAATCACTTGATGTCTCATACCATTGATTTCTAAATGCAGCATGCTTGTTTTAACGACTTGGAAAGTTTTATTTTGGTCTCTCTCAAGACTTTTTAAAACTATATTACATGTACATATGAACATATGTATATTTTATATTATGGTAAACAATTTAGTGATATACATGTAGTGTCAGCTTATAGATACACTATTTGTATACATGGAATTCAAGTAATAAAAAAATATTTGTACTATGTTCTCCATTGATCCAAATGAAAGAGACATAGAAAATTGTACATTGCAAATGTTTATTTTAAAAAAAATACAAAAAACGCCCATGGGTGATACTCTGGGACTCTAATTTACGAAAATATGAACTTATATTAGACCTTCATTTTTTTTGTTTGGTTAAGGTCAGGGTGCATGATGGGAAATTTTCTGCATCCTTCAATTGAGTCACATGTTATTTTTCAAACAAGAATCACTCCTTCCCCACATTGTCTACACCTTCCAAGTTTGCACAAAGAGTGCACTTATGTGCCTAGAAAAGACTTGTGAGAAGATTTGTTTTGTAAAATGTATAAAAAACGAGAAAATTCAGTGAAAAAAATTTCTGAAAATTTTCTGAATTTTTTCACTGAATTTTCTTGTTCTTTATACACTTTATCAAAACATTCTTCTCACAAGTCTTTTCTAGGCACATAAGTGCACTCTTTGTGCAAAAGTGAAAGATATAGACAATGTGGGGAAGGAGTGATTCTTGTTTGAAAAATAACATGTGACTCAATTGAGGGATATAGAAAATTTCCCATCATGCACCCTGACCTTAAATAAAAGTTAGAGTTACAAGAAAATATAAGGTATGATAAGATAAACCTTATTGTTAATTTTTAATTAAATTTCAAAGTTGGGGTCAGTTTTTAGCAAAAACGATTTTTGGACCCCCTGAGGGTGACCTACTTTAAATGGGTGCCACGGCCAGTATGCATTTTCTAAAAATTTAGGTTATAGATTTTCTTTTTATTGAAACTCCAAGCTTTCAGAAAATATATAGTTTAATGGGGTTGGGTTAATTTAAAAAAATGGTTGTCCAATGCTACTTAGATCTAGAGGTTAAAAAAGTTGAGAACAATTTCCTGTCCTGGCCTCAACTTTAGAATTCTATAGTTTACAATGTGGTACGTTATGTCAACCATAAGTGCGTTAAAATTTTTGTTCAATGGACAAACTAACAAAAATGAATTAAATTAGTACTTACGTTAATCATCTACAGGCTACAAATCCATAGGTTATCATGGACAAATCTAGTAAACTTTCTCTTTTTCTAACCCAAATACCAGCACATGCTATCTATTGCAAGACTAACGCCTGGTGTAACCGTCACCATGTTATTCGGTGTTTTTTAAGTAGCGCAAGGATCCTGCCATGACCGTGGCAGTGTTATTTTGTAAGCCTGGTATAACCGTGACAACGCTGTATTATATTGCAAGGCCTGTCATGACCGTGACAATGCTATATTATATTGCAAGGCCTGTCATGACCGTGGTAATGTTAAAGCCCCGTATGACCGTGACAATGGTTCCAAGGTCTGTCATGACCGGGACAATGCTATATTATATTGCAAGGCCTGTCATGACCGTGGTAATGTTAAAGCCCCGTATGACCGTGACAATGGTTGCGAGGCCTGTCATGACCGGGACAATGCTATATTATATTGCAAGGCCTGTAATGAATATGGTTGTAATGCCTGTCAAGACTGTGCTAATGCTGAAGCCTGATATGACCGTGACAATGCTTGCAAGGCCTATCATGACCGTGACAATGCTTGCAAGGTCTGTCATGACCGTGACAATGCTATATTATATTGCAAGGCCTGTCATGACCGTGACAATGCTTGTAAAGCCTGCCATGACCGTGACAATGTTATGTTATATTGCCGTATATATTATATGACCGTAATAAGGATTGAAAGGCCTGTCATGACCGTCAGAATGTTAAAGCCTGTCATGACCGTGGTAAGGTTAAAGCCTGTCATGACCGTGGTAAGGTTAAAGCCTGATATGACCGTGACAATAGTTGCAAGGCCTCTCATGACCGTGGTTGTATTTAAAGTAGCATGAGAACACCGTAATGACAATTTTTATTCGTGTTTAACTACCTTAAAGATGTAAATAAAGACTACGAAAAATGTGTATTAATTTCACAACGAAAACCTAATTTTTACTCATAAATAATTTGCTAACAAACTATATCTCTACTCTCATTCAAGGAGCTTCGATTCGAAAGCATATACTTTCTATAATGATCAATAAATAAGATTTATCCATAAAAAATACAAACAGCAACGGGCGAACATAAAGGTCATTAATGTCATATAAAGGTTACGGTCGCGACAGGCTTACACGATTACACTACCACGGTCATGGCAGGCATTTTAATATAATACAGCATTGTCGCGGTTATACCAGGCTTTCACGATAACATTACCACGGTCATGGCAGGATCCTTGCGCTACTTAAAAAACACTGAATAACATGGTGACGGTTACGCCAGGCGTTAGTCTTGCAACAGATAGGGTCTCAATACCAGTCCAGTGTCAAACTCGATTCTGAAACGAAAATGATAACTATAGGGACAGAATAATACTAATTACATGCATTTGATATAAAAAATATTTTTATAAAAATTTATTTAATTTATACGTATTTTTGTGCATCATTATAGCTCACTTTTTATCATCAGTGCTGCTCAAATCGTTTATTTCAAACGCTCAAAGTTGAGGATTTAGTGAATTTACATTGACCTTCCCAAACAAAATGGCTGATCATTTTGAAAAGGTTTGGGAGAGACAACAACGTCTTCTCCGTCATAATGAGACAAGGGGAAGCAAGTTTCCACCCTTTTCAATTGAGCCAGTTGCTCACGAAAGACAGAGATTGGCAGGAAAAGGCATGACGGCTGAAACTCGAGCCCTGAGAAAGCAATGGGTCCAGGATCAGATTCTCTCCCCAAATGAACCCAGAGTTGTACCAGAATTGGATGCTAGGAACCCCATCAGACGGGCTGGTAGTGCACCATGGAACTTTATATTTAAATTAGCCCAACCTTTTATGGTAAGTAACTGAAAAATTGAATGTCTGCTCGATGTACTACTTTTATCAAGGCCTGACTTCGTCACTACAGTTGGGGACAAAAATAAATGACAGGTCGATTTTCGATCACCATTTCCTAATTATGGTGGTCTGAAAGCCCATAATTTCCAATATTGTCTAGATATATATCCCTTAAAATTTGTATATTTTACATTTTGTATAATCTCATCCACTGATGTATGGCCTCTTGTAAATTCTCTTATTTTTAACATGGGAAATCCTCACTTCAGCAAATCCACCTGTCATTTATTTATGTCCCCAACTGTAAGATGCTAAATATAAGAGTTACTACTTTTTTCAAGGCCTGACTGCGTCGCTAACATGCTAAATATAAGAGTTAGCTGACGTTTGGGAGTCTGACTTACCTTCTAAAGGTCAGAACCCGAATCTTAATGAAACCATATCACCTTTGTTCCGTCAACCATGGAGCATTTGCCACAACATCCAAGAGATAAATCATGGATCGAGAAAATGAATGATTTCCTTGTAAGTTCCGGAAGTTTCAATACGAAAAATTACCGAACATATGTGAAAACCAAATATTTGTTCGTTGTTTTCACGATTTACAGGTTCGTTTGTTCTTCAATGTTTTGGTCTAAATTATAAAGCATCACCAACAGGTCTTATATTTAGCATGTTAGCGACGCAGTCAGGCCTTGAAAAAAGTAGTAGCTGACGTTTGGGAGTCTGACTTACCTTCTAAAGGTTAGAACCAGAATCTTAATGAAACCATATCACCTTTGTTGCGTCGATGATGATGCATAAACATAGCATTTGATAGAAATTAGTGTAAATGCTTTTCCGACTTTTTCATTTTTCATCAATGTTGACCTCCGGGAAGGCGTTGTAGTTATCACGAAATAACGCATTGACCCTTGAACTTTGCTTTGTTGACGTGTCAACCAAGCATCTGGTGTGAAAATTAAAAGAATATTAAGCAATGTTCTACATCCGCCAAGCTACGTGACGTAGTCAATATTTAAAATTACCAATTTCAAGTGAAGTATGCAACGAACGAAACTGCGTGATCTACACTCCCACTATTGGTCTGAATGAAATGCTACGCAGAAATATGAGCCGTCTGCTGTATTAAGTCGATTAATAGAGTAAGACCTGTTGGTGATGCTTTATAATTTAGACCAAAACATTGAAGAACAAACGAACCTGTAAATCGTGAAAACAACGAACAAATATTCGGTTTTCACATATGTTCGGTAATTTTTCGTATTGAAACTTCCGGAACTTACAAGGAAATCATTCATTTTCTCGGTCCATGATTTACCTCTTGGATGTTGTGGCAAATGCTCCATGGTTGACGGAACAAAGGTGATATGGTTTCATTAAGATTCGGGTTCTAACCTTTAGAAGGTAAGTCAGACTCCCAAACGTCAGCTAACTCTTATATTTAGCATCTTAGCGACGAAGTCAGGCCTTGAAAAAAGTAGTAGATTTGTTGGCTTGGTCCGAATCCCATTCCCAATCATTCAAATCCTGATTCATTGGTCTGAATCCCAATCATCCAAATCCCATTTGTCTGAATCCCAATTATCCAAATTCCCATTCGTCTGAATTGCAATGGCAGGCCTGTCAACTGTCCCGCAATTTGCGTATTTGTCACGCATTTGCTGAAGAATTTTAAGTCACGCCAGTTATTTTTGAGTGACAAAAAATGTCACGCAAATACGCATTTTACATGGTAATTGTCAAGCAAAAATATATCTGTAGAAAAATTTCTAAAAAGTTCGTCTACACAGCAAAAATACGAACGCCGAAAAATACGTACGCATTTCGTTCGGACTTTTCACACGAATTACGTATATGTCACGCATTCCGTTCGAAATTTTTCCTACCAGATTTGGACCAAGATTTGACCAAGGTGTCCACATTTTGAGGGGAGGTGTTCAACATTTCCAAGTCACTCATGTTAGGTGTTCCCAAGTTGACAGGCCTGCAATGGTCTGATTTCCATTAATCCGATCCCTACCATCCAAATCCCAATTGTCCAAATCCCATTCGACATGACACATGTCAGCTTTCAAAATGCTGTTCCGCCATTTTGAAACCTGTCACAAGTAAATAACAGATGTTGCATTCTGGGAGTCAATCTACCTTGGATCACAAACATGGGGATCCATGAAAACATTTGTAGGAATTTATCCATCATTTGCATGTATGAAGTTGGATTCATTCATTGTTCTACTTAAAGTGAACAGGAATTATTTTTCTACCGCTTGGGAGAGTTTGAGACATAAACTTAGAATTTAGCTCATTGTGACAACTTTTGATGGTTGAGGTTTATTAATGTCTCCCACTTTATCATGATATTTAAACTTAGATACACAAGCAAAAGTGAGGTAGGCTTCTTGAAAAGAATTGATGTAATGTCACTTCTGGTTTTCAAAACTTCGATATCTCTACTTTCATAATGATGCCCCTTATGAAACCTGCACCATTAAACTACCAAAACCAAAACTTACTTTTTCCACTAGTATTGAGATGACATGCCATCGGGAATCCTGATTGGTCCAAATCGGTAAACAAATATGGCTAGAGGTGTCACGGATACCCGATTTTGTTCCGATCCGCAGAATTATGCCCTCGGGATGGAACATGGAACACAAATTGAGAATTTCGGTTTGGTTCCGGAACAAGAACATTTTACCCTTTCACAATTTTTGGCCTTGAATCGCCACAAAACAGCATTTTTCTCTCAATATTTCACACCAAAAGAGGTTAATTTTTTTACTCCTTCTCATGAGTTTTGAAGAGCTTTTCGCCACCAAATAGAACTAGATGATCAACTTATTTTAATCTTATACACGCAGTCACTCTGTTCGGAACCATTCCGAAATTGTTCCGTTCCGAAGCAAAATGTTCAGAACCGAACCGTTCCGATTTTCTTTTGTTCTGTGACATCTCTAAATGTGGCAGTTCAAAATTTTCACATTTTCTAATAACGCTTCGAATAATTGTTATATTAATTGTTATTTTACATTAAGATAAAGAAAAATGTAAGGGATATATCCATTAAAACATCACAACGACATGTTATATTCAAAAACTAACTGGTGAAAATTTGGGCAAATGAAGGTAGTACACAATAGACGCAATTCCCTTTAGCGCAGAGATTGATCTCGAGGGTTACACTCTCCCGAGAAATTACGAGAGGCAGTATGAGAAGAACAACGCTAAAAATTTTTAATTTCTGCAACAATCTTCGATCACTTGACAATACTGCAAGCCTTTTGTGGTATGTTTTCATTGTTAACTAAAGCCTCGAACCCTTTTAATTGTAAATCTGTATTGATTAGTTACGTCTTGACTGTTTTATGATGTAATTTGCAAATTATAAACCAAAAAAAAGCCTACCTCACTTTGAATATTTCTTTAGGAGGTATTTCCTAAGAAAAATTCTGCCATCTGTGCTTATATATCACATTGACAATTGTTAATTTTCCAGTCATTGGGTTTCCGACAAATGGGATTCGGACCATTGGGATTCGGACCAATGGTATATCCTCGTACTCACAAGTATGAGTGTTGTCATGCTTTAGATCTACACTAACCAAACCAGTTTTGCTGAGTTATCTACTTCCTGAATCTAAAATGTCATAGATCTCAACCAGACAATGTCCAATAGAAAAACAGTTGTGTTTACTCCAGAAGAAACACACTGCATCAGTGGATTATGTGCTGAGAATTGGTGTTCACTAGACACAGGTGTTCAGGAGACATAGGTGTTCACTAGACACAGGTCACCTTCCTCTAAGGCTTTCACTGTGTTAACTGTTTAGGCCTTACATGAACCATAAATCCCTATATGTTTTATTCTGCCATATGTAAGTTATGTCATGATCACAAAATTTGAAATCAAACCAGCCACCATTAATTCACTTCACAATTTGAATTTCAAAACACAAAAAGTGATGAATATTTTAATTTTAGTACTTATTTTATCCTTGTCTCTGATCAAGGGTTGAGCTATCAACAAAGATTACATATCTAGTTCATGCAGTTCACTAACAAGATGACTTCATTCGCTACTTCCAGAGTGACAAAGCAGCCATGTATAGTAGGTTCTATGTGCCAAAGGCTGTCAGTATCGTAGCTGTCCTATGGTTTGGTGCTTACTGGCTAAAATACAACCAAAATGTAAGTAAATACTGAAATGCGTGTGGAAGATTACCCACCAGGCATTTGGACAATTAGCGGATTGTCTAGTGCAGGTGGCATCTGTAATCTAATGTAACTAGTATTCATAAATTTGTAATTGTATTGTATAATGATTATTGCCTATATCATCCAATAATATCTCACCGAACCTTCTGATTAACCGCTTAACATATTCATGAAAATATCTTGAGACTTGAAAATTCGCTTTGAATGTCACTCAAAATTGAAACTTTTGATAACCAAGCAAAAGCCAGAATTCAAATGTTTTTTTCTCAAAGTATCTCGTAAGTTGTAACATTTCTGCCCATAGAAATAAACTCCTCCTTTTTGCCCTTTTACGGAAAATGCTCTCGGTGATTGTTCTGAGCTAAGTGAGGTTTCACTCAGTATTCTTCTCTTAATTACTCAATAATTAATGGATATATTCGCACAATTCATTCGTCAAGGTAAAGATATGAACAGTAGACATGAAACCAATGTGTTTATAAGTAGCCTACAGTATTATTTTGTTAAAAAGTAAATCTTCATTTTTACATGTGGCACAAGTAGGCTCGATAATTGACAATTTCCACAATCTTCTTTTCCAGGATTGGACAAAAGGATATGGATGGCATTCATATACATCTAAGCCAACAGTTTTTTCCGGTAAGTTAAAGTAATAGTTGGGCCTATTGTAAGTTAATTGTAAGCCAGGTGTTACATTTTAACAAACTTTTAGGCTTCTCTGCATTTTTATGTCACCACCAAAAACTGGTGACATATTGTTATTTTTTTTTGAGACAGCGGTTGGTGTCTGTAAAAAATTGGTTAATGCCTTGTTCTGAAAAGTTGATCAGAATTTATGAGTTGAGCTTCAAGTAAAACAGTGGTAAAAGAGCACTCATGTAAAATAATGGAGATTTTTATAAAATTGGATGGTGCTTATGATCTAAAGTGAGTGATGCAGTTGATATCAGAGTGGTTGTATCACTACTAAATATCGACTCATGGATAACACTGTTATAATTGGTATACATGTATAATTAAATTAAGATGACTATTTATTATGGACATTTTATCAGCACATGTATTTAAAGAGCTTATATAGTGGGACAGGGAGGAGATCTGGAATTATAACCTCTTTCTTGAATTGATAACATTCCATAAAGTGCAGCTGGATCTTTTCGTATGTTTTGGTTGAAATATCTCAATATTTCTATACTGTTTCTGAACCCTTTGAAGATACAAACAATTTTCAAGGTGATGGTAATTTTCAGTTTTCAACAAGGTGTTGCACCTAGTTGTAGCAATGCTAAAGGAAACACTGATAATACTGCCCCAAAGGCTCTGAACCATTTGGCCCAATTTACCCCATTATCCCACTTAAAATATTTCTATATTTTTCAGGGTGAGGCATCATGGCCAAAAGGTCCACAAGCAAAAGATGACGACTTTTTCGATAAAGGATTCAAATCTAGAGACACACATAAAGATTTAACCTCTGCTTCTCCTCTCAATAGAACACAATAAGAAAATGTTTATTAGGTAATTTATACGAACTGGACAGTGTCAACTCAAGGCCTTTTGGATTGTTTCTATTATAAAGTTGAGTGGGGAAATCGTAAAGTAGCGATTGTACAGCATTCATGTATAGTAGACTTGTGACAATAAGCGATCTTGTTTTATTGTGCTTATAATTAAAAGACTCTAGATGTAATTGCTTAACTATATTGCATTTAGTGTATTTGCCAAATGGATGAATTACAAGCCTTTTAAGATGACAATAAATTGTTAAACCCATATATTCAATTTTAACTATTTTATGTGTTTTCCCTTGTCTCATGATTATAAACTCATCATAATTATCAACTGACCCTGATGTGCTGTCTTGAAAAGATGTATATTTACCTCATTCAGTCCATCTTATGTATTTAAGAAACATCATTTGAATTGAATACTTCAAAATATTTATAATGATACAAATAATAATGCACATATTCCTGGTGCAATGTATTCACAACCCATTTACACATTATATAAATTGTCAATAACAAGTATTTTTGTGATCCTATGTTTTAAGGTTATATGAATCTCCGTAAATCAAATGCCTTTCAAGAAGGGAACACTCAAGATCCCAAAGGTGTTCCACTTTTGCAGTTCATCTCTTTTTGTCAAAAGTACTGCTGTTGTGCATGTTATTTACTGCAGATTTCTACAGTCTTAGACTTTCCTCTCTGATTTTTCTTTTAAAAGTCTACAAGGAACAGAGGACTTAACCAGATGTTCGATGGTATACATACCCTTGGTCAATACAATTTGTGAAAATTATTTTGTCATTAGTCATACAATATGTTCCCAATTTCCCATGAAGAACTCCAGTATTCCCATAGAGAAAACAAAATCATTGAATAGAAGTTTGTTTGATTTAAAAAATATAAGTATAGAATGACTGGGGGCTGTCAAGATGCATCTGTTTTGATTTGAAGAATCAGTGAATGAGCATCAAGCATACTTTTCTTAACTTTAAATAAACTCACTTTGGTAACTTTAACAGTTATTGGGGAGTTTAAGTTTGCATATAAAATGGAAACGCCAACCTATACGCATGACCAATTGCCCATACAAATGCATTAAATATTTTCTGTTCATGTTTAGGTTGTGAAAAACATTGCAAGCTTAAACTCCCTATTAACTTATTAAAGCCCCAAAGATGGACTCAAATGTTAAAAATGGGTTGTATCGTGTTTTATTCATTTATTGATTTAGTTTTTAGCTCATTTACATTTTGTAATTTTTGCAATAGTACAACACAATTAATCAAGTCAAAACTATTTACAGAAAACATGTTCATATAACTTTTCTATAATTATCTCAGGTTACCCGTGTAAGCTCACATAAGATGAGCTCTTAATGCTTATCTGTAGCTTTCCATAAAGTCCTATATGTGCTAGCTGGATCAGTACATGAATATGAAAGTGACCCCCATCACCGTCAACATAACTGTAGAGAGCATATATAGCATTAGACAGCCTCTCTCAGCCACACTCATTCTCCTCTCTGCTCTCTTCTCCACCTCCTTGGAGCTCACATTAACACTGATTGTCTGTAGGTTATATGAGGAACACTTGTCTGAAACAAATGCAAGTTTAGGTTATATGAGGAACACTTGTCTGAAACAAATGCAAGTGTAGGTTATATGAGGAACACTTGCTTGAAACAAATGCAAGTGTAGGTTATAGGCGGAATGCTTGCCTGAAACAAATGCAAGTGTAGGTTATAGGAGGAACACTTGTCTGAAACAAATGCAAGTGTAGGTTATAGGAGGAATACTTGCCTGAAACAAATGCAAGTGTAGGTTATAGGAGGAATACTTGCCTGAAACAAATGCAAGTGTAGGTTATAGGAGGAACACTTGTCTGAAACAAATGCAAGTGTAGGTTATAGGCGGAATGCTTGCCTGAAACAAATGCAAGTGTAGGTTATATGAGGAACACTTGTCTGAAACAAATGCAAGTGTAGGTTATAGGAGGAACACTTGTCTGAAACAAATGCAAGTGTAGGTTATAGGCGGAATGCTTGCCTGAAACAAATGCAAGTGTAGGTTATGTAGGTTATAGGAGGAACACTTGTCTGAAACAAATGCAAGTGTAGGTTATAGGAGGAACACTTGCCTGAAACAAATGCAAGTGTAGGTTCTTGGAGGAACACTTGCCTGAAACAAATGCAAGTGTAAGTTATAGGCGAAATGCTTGCCTGAAACAAATGTAAGTGTAGGTTCTAGGAGGAACACTTGTCTGAAACAAATGCAAGTGTAGGTTATAGGAGGAAGACATTGCCTGAATCAAATGCAAGTGTAGGTTCTAGGAGGAACGCTTGCCTGAAACAAATGCAAGTATAGGTTATAAGAGGAATGCTTGCCTGAAACAAATGCAAGTGTAAGTTATAGGAGGAACACTTGTCTGAAACAAATGCAAGTGTAGTTTATAGGAGGAACACTTGCCTGAAACAAATGCAAGTGTAGGTTATAGGAGGAACATGTGCCTGAAACCATTGCAAGTGTAGTTTATGGGAGGAACACTTGCCTATTACAATTGCAAGTGCAGGTTCTAGGAGGAACACTTGCCTGAAACAAATGCAAGTGTAGGTTATAGGAGGAACACTTGCTTGAGTTTGAATAGGACATGACTATTGCATATTTTGAGGAAAGCGAAATTTTCAGATCAGAAGATTCTAATTCTTGGTAGTTTAATGAACAGATGAATGAAAGATAAAATGAATGACGAGAGACACCGACTTACCTTCAGACCCTTCTTTGTCTTTTTTGTACTTATTTATAGCAAATCCAATATCCCACAAGACTTGAAGACCAACAGCGACACTGATAACTATGAGGTTGACAAACTTCAAGTTGCCTGGCAGAATACTAATATTTGTGAAGGCATTGATCATTGTGGACGCTGAAATAAAAGAATATGAATATATATGTCATCTTGAGGAGTTTTTAAGGCATCATATTCAAGGTCACATATAACTGATATAGTCATTTTAGAGTGTTTCCGCATCTAAAATGTGAAGGCCTAGGCAGTCTAACGACTAACGAGTGCCACCAGTAAAAGCTTATAAATTAACAAAGTTTGGCAGGGACATTTAATTGTGAAGCCATCCTCTCTCTCAGATTTTCAGTTAAAACTGTCCATGATTCATTTAAACTTCATAAAACTAGCAGTGTTTGTACCTGCAAGTGCCCAGCAAAGCCCTCCATTGATGCTATGTACTGTGTTGAAGGCTGGCCGGAACTTTGAATCTGGTCCTGGTCTTAGTGTTCCCATGACAACCTGTAGCAACACCAGTGTCTGGACTGCGATTCCGAGACCTGCATGGATCTGAGTTCTACCATCCTGAAAATAAGTGAATTCTTATTTTTATTTTATTCTCTTAATATTGATTTTATTTGGTTTAAAGGGACCTGCTCAGAATGGAACTTGATTGTTTGATTTATAAAGTACTGAATTTTGATTGATTAGTTGGTTTGAGAGGATTTTTTCTAGATATGTTGAGGGGATCTCTACTATGATAAACACTTTAAAAGATTTTTAATTGTTCAAGGGTCTTACTTGTTCAAATGGTCTGGTTGAGACACCATATTATATCATACGTCTTGTATATAATAAAATAATACCTACTTACCTTCACAAATTCTTTCTTATATACAAATATTATCACAAACGCCCCAACAGTCAACAGGAATGCAAGAACAGCTAATATTCTATGCAGCTGGAAGTAAAATAATAAAATAGTACTAAACATAGTTATAAAATATTTCAATTCATGCATGAGTTCATTGTATGCAGCCATGAATATGTGTCGAATGTACACTTTGACTCAATTTGTATTGAGAATAAATGGTTTTTATTAATTTATAAGAACAATTTTACTTACTTGGAACCAAAGTTTTGCGCCACAATACATTTTGTCATCTCCTAAATTTTTGAAGCTACGTGCGAAAATAATAGATACCCCAGCACAAAGGACCCACGCTATTATCATCATGGCACCTGAGGAAGAACAGAAAAATGGATGAGTTCTTCAAGGTATTCAAAAGGTTGACATGGAAAATAATGAAAAATTAACAATTATTGTTATCATTGCCTTTTGAAATTGGTGAAGATGAGAGAGGTAAATACAAATTTGAAATCCTCCATACACTGCATATTATATATTTCTAGAGGATTAGCCACGATCTAGAAATAGGCGAGCTTACCTCTTTCAAAGACTGCTTACTGAGTCTTTGAAAGAGGTAAGGTGAAGCAAACTTAAATAGGTGAGGCCAAAAATAATTATTTAAAGCAATTTTATACCATCAGTCATTAGACTTAATTCTTACCATTTATTTTGAAAAAATGTCTGAATTAATAAAAAATCTGCAAATTTTGGTGAGGCGCCTCTCACCTGTTTCATGCCTGGCTACGCTTTATTATATCTTTGTAGTAGTATCTTTGTACTTTTTGATTTGCCATTGACTTACCATGGGCTTGCACTTCTCTTGGAAGGGAGTAAGCATAAACCAATGTTTTCTGCTGAAGGTCCACCTTGTCATGTGTAATGAGAGGAAGAGGGCCATGTTTGTGGCCAACATCTGTGCCTGAAAATTGACAATGGAAGGGTGATATAAGTTGTTTTGTCACATGGCCCGAATTGCTGGTAATGAAAAAAGATTCAAAGTTGATTAGTTATTTTTTCATAAAAATAGACTGTTTTAGAAATTGTTGTATTAGGGCGTTTTAGTATTCAAATATTTGAACTCCCAACCATTTCAGCAATTTTAAGAATTATATATTGGCAAAGTTTTTGAAACTTTCCATGAGGCCTTTAACTTTCCCAAGCATCTATGTTCACTCTTTGTTGAATCGAATACTAATGGGAGTTCCTCACCATCGTAGGCATCCCCATATGCAATGAAGAGATGCCAGGTGTCACTGAGGAGGTCAAAGGTCACCTCTGTGGTGGTAGCAGGGGTCGTCTTATCGTTACTTATCCATGTGACATTCATACTACGGGGTCTCCTGAATCTACATGTCACATGATCTCTTTGCTTTTCTGCCTCAGCATTTGTGATTCCAGTCTGAAATATTGTAGTTTGATATTGCAACCTATCGTGTACCAGATCTGCTGTATGTAATATTTGTCAATACTTTGACTTACTTATAAGTTTTATGGTTTTCAGAGGTTTTGTTGTCTGCTGATGGGTCAATAAATCACGTTTTCTACATTTATCAGGGGTGGGTTCAAGAACTCCTAATCCCATATAATCCAACATTGAAAAGACGGGGTCCGCGCATTTTACCGAAACCCATTATAGTGATAAAGGAATTGACAAATATTTGAAAATTACCTCCTGTTCAAGTTCCAATCATTTTTATAGATTATATTGATAGATTTAATGTCACTGAATATGGTATTGCTTGTTGAGGATCACACAACATTACCGTTTATCATTTATTTGAGATTTAAGCAGGGGTCCATTTTTTAAAGAAATAATCGTTTTAAAAGATTTCTTGTGAATAGATAATAAATAAGTACAAAAAGTATGAATTATTATATATCAAGAGCATAATGTAAAATTTCAACTGAAAAATTAGATCAAAATGGAATCCATGTTCATAGTGGGGGGTATAACTCATCAAACACTGGATAATTTTTTTAAAGCTAATTGTTACAGCCTAATGTTTTTAATTTGCTTTTTTAAGTTAGGATTATAGCATTGACCATTTATGAATTTTTGAGCACCATACAAAGTTACAGAACTTCATTTATGAACGATTTCAGCAGGGGTGTATTTTACAAATATTAAATATTTTTCCGGATAGTTCTTAGATGAAAAGCTAGTACATTGTTACAATTAAATTACATCATTGAGGTGTATAAATCATGAAAACAGGTTTCATCCTGATGTCTTCAACCTAATTCGTATAACGCCATGTCACAAATGGGGGGAGGGGACATTTACCTCCACTTGGGGATCTTTATTACTTTTATGACTTCAATATTACAGTTATGTCGGTATCATTATAAACAGGCATTAAATAAGTGTAGACTATTATAAATGGGTTGACAGCAAGAAGATTTATACAATTTAAACTGGAAAATGAGATAACAATGGGCTCTAAAATCACAATGATTGGTGTAACTAATCACATTTTTAATTTATAAGCTTAGTATCATGTCCTAACAATTTAAATTAATCTTAAATAGTTATCCCATTGAACGAAGTTCGGAGGGATATAGGGAACGGGCCTCAGTCCGTCCGTCCGTCCATTCGGGCAATAACTCAAATACCGTTGGCCCGATTTTGACCATATTTTTACACATATACCCTATGGGGGTAGAAGTTCTCCTCGAAAGCCGATTTTCAAAATGGCTGCTCATTTAAAAATAGCGGCCATTTTAGTGCCGATTTTACAGTAATTTAGATGCAATATGTAAAACTGTAATAGCAATATCTTTTAAATGAAAAAAAATATATAGGACATTAATAAAGCTAATGTAGATATTAAAGAAGCACATGGCAGCCATCTTGAAAAATGATGGCCTTTACTTGTTATTTTACGATTTTTGCTGTAACTCGAAAAGTAGTGGAGTAATTTCGTTCATATTTGGTATATGAATACTATAAGCATGGCACACTGTCTAGTGATACTTTTGGTAGAAGGCGGCCATTTTAAACATAGCCGCCATTTTAACGTATTTTACTATAACTCGAAAAGTTGTGGAGCGATTTTGATCATTTCTGGTATGTGAATACTGTTAGGCGGTAAACACGATACAAAAATATGCCATATTCCTCAATGAATATGGCATATTCACTTGCGGTGTATGACAGATTCACCTGCGGTATATGTAATACACACTAACCAATGAGTATGTGATACGGAAGTACGCAATTGTCAATTGCATCAATTGAACGAACAGGTAAAACTTTATAAATTATTATAATGATTACTGAATCAACAGTACAGTTCATCCAATATATCAACGTATGCAGAAGTATCACTCACCAATCTCACGTCATAAACTTACCCAATCAATCCAGGATTCATATATTAGTACTCGACGCACTAACAATATTGGTAATCCAGCGTAGTTTTACATTTAGAGTCGATTCTCGCAACCAATCAAACCGAGTCTTTCTGTATCACGTTTTCACCTGCGGAATATGTCATATTCACCTGCTGTATATGGCATATTCTGCAAGTGAGTATGACAAATTCTGCAGGTGAGTATCGGGTATTCACTGAAACCAATATATCGCATATTCACTGCAGAATATCGCATACTCACCTGCGGAATATGTCATATACCGCAGGTGAGTATGGCATATTCACCCGTATCACAAATACCGCGCAACCATGAATGTATGCCATATTCCGCGTAAAAAATACCATAAACATGGCACACTGAATTTTTTGAATATCTTAAAGTGGTTCAGATTTTCATTTATTGAAGATTTAATTCAAGACTAATTCAAAAAGATGAATATTTTTGTGGATGGTTCTCGGATCAATTACTATTATTACCACCTTGCGGGGCATGTTTTAGGGGTATTAGTGCTAGTTTAGGTGGCATTTATGTTACTATATCGACCTGAGCAATAATTCTTATAACGTCATTTCTGCGAGCAATATTAAACAAAAACTGGATGATCAGTAGCTGGATATGGCAGAATACCCATTCGAGAAAAAAATATTGGGCGAGACGGTATTAATTAATTTCAATAGAAAGTTTGGGTTCTAGCATTGCGTCATGGGACAGTCTATTTTCTACTAAATAAAATAATCAAGGTAAACGCTTTTCTATTACTAAAGTTATTTGCTTGTAGAGATGCTTGTAGAGCCCGTATCGCAAAAATCATATATCCTTTTACCCCACACCATATCATATGCTTTATTGATGTTAAAATCCATTTTTATAAATAGTGGGAATAAATTCCTAACTCATCTTAGATTATGATTTAAATGCAATATTATATGCGATCAAATGCTTTTTCCAAGGTTTTAAAATGTAAACAGTGCTCAGTTTCAGTGCTCAACGGGTGAAAACGTATGTAGGAATATAGGCAGAAACAATTTGCAGATCAACGAAAACAAGATTGCGTTCAAAGAAAGTGAACTAAATAGAACCATTATTTTTAATCATGTTGAAAGCAAAATATAGTCAGACAGAAGATATTATTTTCAATTAAACAGATAAAATCAATATATCATGCTAATGACCTTTCCAAAAGCAGATTCATAAGTGGAAAATTCGTTGTTAACTTCAAAAGTATCAATATCTAATATTTTTCATTGGACCTCTGTTAAACCCCTCAATGATAAGTAAACGGTAATGTTGACAGGTCCTCAACGGGTGAAAAGGTATGTAGGAATTTATGTTTTATTATTTGAACATATCATTTAACAATTGGCAGATCAACGAAAAACAAGATGATGTTAAAAGAAAGTGAACTAAATGAAACCATTATTTTTTATCATTTTGAATGCAAAATATAGTCAAACAGACTATCTAAGTTTCAATTAAACAGATAAAATCAATATGGCATACTAATATTAATAACCTTTCAAAAAAGACTTCAAAAATATCAAAATCTAATATCTTTTATATTTTTCTGTGAATCCCTGTTAACCCCACAATTATTAATAAATAAGTTTATTGGTAACATCTAATGTGCATCGAGATAAAATCAACATGTCATACTAGTAAACTTTCTAAAAGCCGATTAATGACTAGATAATCTGTTGTAAACTTCAAAACTATCAAAATCTAATATTTTTTGTTGACCCCTCCCTGTTAAACCCCTCAATGATAAATAAACGGTAAAGTCCTCAACAGGTGAAAATGTATCATTTACACATATCATATCAATTGGCGGATCAACAAAAACAAGATGATGTTAAAAGAAAGTGAACAAAAGGGAACAATTATTTCTCATCATTTTGAATGCAAAATATAATCAGACAGTCGATCTTATTTTCAATTAAACAGATAAAATCAAGATAAAATCAATAGGTTATGCTTATAACCTTGTCAAAAACCGATTCATGAGTAGATAATCCTTTGTAAACTTCAAAAGTACCAAAATCTAATATTTTATTTTTTGTGGACCCCGGTCAAACCCCTCAATAATAAGTAAATGGTAATGTTGACAAGTGCTCAACATGTGAAAACGTATGTAGGAATATATGTCTTATCATTTAAACATATCAAAACAATAGGCGGATCAACAAAAAACAAGATGATGTTAAAAGAAAGTGAACTAAATGGAACAATTAATTTTAATCATTTTAAATGCAAAATATAGCCAGACATGTGATCTTATTTTCAATTAAACAGATAAAATCAATATGTCATGCTAATAACCTTCCCAAAAACCAATTCATAAGTAGATAATCTGTTGTAAACTTCAAAAATATCAAAGTCTAATATTTTTTATTTTTTGTGGACCCTTGTTAAACCCCTCAATAATAAGTAAATGGTAATGTTGACAAGTGCTCAACAAGTGAAAATGTATGCAGGAATATGTGTTTTATCATTTAAACTCATCAAAACGATTGGAGGATGAACAGGAGGAAACAGCTTAATTAAGGCTTATCTGAGAAATTCCATTATCACTATTATACCGACGCGCATTGTACCGAAAGGCGTTATACATTACTGAATGCCATAATCACTGTTCCACAACTAGTTACTTCCTGAAAGAATGTGGTACGGCCCTGCTCAACGCATTCCCAAAAAAGTCTGATTCTGTAGAATTAACCCTTTCCAAATGGAAAAACAGATGGCATGGTATCATGGGTATAGGTAGGGCTAAATAACATGACAAGAGTCATTTAATTTATTAATTTAATAAGTAATTCCATTTGAATCAACTTAAAACATATAAGAATGTAACTATATGATATTATTGACATATGGATTGTGATTTCACATTAAAATTGTGATCCTTGTAAAAGAAAATGGACTTTTGAAGGTTTTCCAACATTGTGTCAATGGGGATTTAGCCTGACCATTTTTAGAAAACTTGAAAATCTCTAGAATTTGAATAAAGGTAAATAACAGTGCAAAAACTAAGTTGTATTGATAGAAAATTACGTACAGAATTCAAATAGAAGAAAATGTTAGTCTTTAGTGGTTAAAAATGCAGATCTCCTAAAATTTCATTAAAACGAGACCTTAACGAGATTAAGCTATATGGAAAAGCCACTATTAGATAGATGCCTTCACTAGGCTATTCTCTGTACTTGTGTCCATGCCTCATTTTGAGTAGCGAGTGTAAATTCTTTTCGGAAACATGATTATGTTTTCCCTGTAATATGAATTGGAGATATCTGACAAAATATGGATAGCCTAAAATATAAATTTTGTGTTTTTTAACATGCGGAAATATCTTGAACACTTTGAAACTGAAGTACAGTTCCTTAATAGGACGTTCAGTTTTCTTGTTTTTGTTCTACACAACACTTGTGTTTAATAGCCACGCGTAATTATTAATAAGCGTAATCAGATTATTTCAAGCGTCGAAATAGCTTATTTTCCTCGACGTATCCACAAACCTATTCACTTACCGTTATATTGAGCGATCTAGATGCGTCAATAATAATTGTTTTTACTCATCGGCTTTAGTGGCCCGCAATACCTTTTATTTCATTCTTACTCACTTACTCATCGGCTTTAGTGGCCCGCGATACCTTTTATTTCATTCATTTGTGAGACGCAATTGATATATTGGCAACAAATCAAATGTTCTAAATGATTCTTCTTCATTTTGGAGTGTTTTCCTACCCGATATTCTTAAATATGTGTCTTAAATATTATACTTTACATTGATCACGATTCTTGTACTTTCTGTCTTTACGACTCTCGTTCACGTTTGCACGAGTTGTTGATTGAATTGCCTTGATCGTTGGTCGAACTTTAATTCCAACTAAATCCGATTAATCAATTAAGAAATGTAATATCATGTTCATCCAAGCAAATAATTGTAACAACTACATTATTTTTTAGCAGTTTTGACACCTAAGCAGGGTAGTCTAGTGGCGTAGACTGAGGCTACTATGCGGTTGAACGTCGTGGGATACGGAGGTCCCGCGTTCGAGCCCCAGGTACGGAGTTGTTGATCATTGTCACTACGGACACCCGGTCCGAAGGTCCAACCGTTTACCGGCCCTTGGCATGGGTTGGTTCTCTGGCCGCTCTTGCCTAAGACAGATTGTGAGACTGTGGTTGGTTCCTCCACTAACGTGCTTTAGTAAACTCCGGGAGTCATATAGTATGGTAGCGGGCCCCCACCAAGGGCAGTAGTGGAACGACGCGAATCGGTCCCAGTATGGTTGCCTTGCAACTGAAGAGACTCGAGGAAATCATGCCATTCGCAATGACCCAGAAAAGACTTTTGCTTCTTGATTTGACGTTTAATTCATGTATTTACATACTTTATTCATATTACTTTCCAGGCATATGTTGGTTTTCGGCACAATGCGCGTCGGTATAATGGGTTTCGGTTTAATACGCGTCGGTATATTGAGGTGATCCCGAAAACACAATAATTTTCAATTGAATAATGCTTGCTACATTTCTAAAAGATGTTGGTTATTTATATTTATTAGAAATATGGTCCATTCTGTATATAAAATAAGAAAACCACTTACTATTCTGTGTTTGTCATTTGTCTTGGGATTGGGTGGATTGTACCCAAGCTGTACTGTTGATAGCCAAGGTGCAGTTAGACAGGTCAGAGTGGAGTCGTTACCCTAGAAACACAAATAGTAAACAGTAAAGGTTAACTCTGGAAACTTGTTCAACTAAATAAGTTGGAGTCGTTACAGAAGAAACACAATCAGTAAAGGATAACTCTGTAAACATGTTCAACTAAATAAGTTGAAGTTGTTACCCTGGAAGCACAATCAGTAAAGGATAACTATGTAAACATGTTCAACTAAATAAGTTGAAGTTGTTATCCTGGAAGCACAATCAGTAAAGGTTAACTATGTAAACATGTTCAACTAAATAAGTTGAAATTGTTACCCTGGAAACACAATCAGTAAAGGTTAACTCTATAAATACGATCTACTAGGCCAAGTAAGGTCGTAAGTAGGTTACCCTAGAAACACAATGAGTAAAGGAAACTCTGGAAACGTGTTCACTCGATAGAGATTAAGCAGTTGACCTAGATACATAAAGAGTAACAGTAAAGGTTCACAGGGTAACTCAAGTAAAAATTTAGAGGTTGTTTTAACAAAAAGAAAACTTTACATGTGAAGATGTTTCTTATATACAGGCTTTAATATGTGGTCCAAAAAGGGACTTGCAGTTACATTATTTCAATTTGCTTTAACCTACCATTCTAACATCATCACTAAAGGCCAATGACATGAAATGATCAGCTTTTCCTTTCATTTCAAAATCAATGAAGTCTCCGTCAACTTTGTAAGTGACCAAAAAGTCACAATCGTAGAAGCAATAACGAGGTGACATTAAACAGCCTTTCGTTTCGCCACAACCATCTGCTGTGATTACTGCACTCAAATTAGGTTTCACCTAAAACATCAAAATTAGCATAATAATTGTCAAATTCAAAATAAAAAGGAAAACATTTAAAAAAATATAGGGAATGTGTACTTTCAGAAGAAGTTTTTTCCATGAAGAATTATATTTTATATTAATAACAAATGTTAGAAAGACAAGCTATTACCTCTCCCAGAAACTCCGCAGAGGCATCTGGTACCATTGCCTTGACAACAGAACTCTTGACATCATACCAGAAGACAGCATATGATTGGATGAATGTTGCACTGAAAAAATGGCCTGATAAAGCAAATGACTGAAACACATGCATGCATTAAAATTAGAAATCCCATCGGCTTTATATTATGGAGTGTCCCCAAATATCTGTTCATTGGTATAATATTGCTAGTCTGGCCCATACCCAAGAGTGGATGGGTGACTCCTCTGTAAAAGAAATGGATGTTGTGTAAAATCTGATGAGAAACGTCTGAGATTTCTCCTTACCTGAAATGGATATCTCCAACAGATGTAGCAGGTGCTTTCCAGGTGAATGTTAGGTTATATTTTGGTTCATTGTTCATATGGGTTAGGCAGTTCTGAAAATATGAAGTAGGCTCTGTCATCTTACTCAAATCTACATGTCATAGGCACAAATATTCAGATCGATACTAGGCATTTTTGACTCTTATCCACAAACCGAGATGGATGTACACTCCCATCCATAAGTGTGCCAACCACCCAACTATTGTAATAAGGATAAACATTGAGATTCATTATTAACTTTTCAGTTGTTCAACTTATGGAGGGGAGTGTGATTTCATAGTATTGCGTTATGATTTAATTTTGCATCACTTTGCTCCATATCAGATACTCATATTTTCCTACTCACTGTAACTCTTCACATATGTAAGTAATAATGAGCCATTTAGATTAAATAAAAAGCAATTGGTTGAGTCTTAAATAAAGATTGGTGGAACTCTTTCTTGGCCTTAAGACAAACAAAGGAATAGATACAGAAAAAACAATGAATAGACAATGAATCAAATAGAAAAAAACAAATGAATAGACAACCAAACAGAAATCAATCAGAAAAAAACAAATGAATAGACAATCAAACAGAAATCAATCAGAAAAAACAAACGAAGAGACAATCAAACAGCGAAAAAAACAAATGAAACAGCAAATGAATAGACAAACAAACAGAAAAACAAATGAATAGACAATCAAACAGAAAAAGCAAATGAATAGCTAAACAGAAAAAACAGATGTATATAGTCGCACAAACGAATAGACAAACAAATTAATGGCTAGATAAATAAATAGAAGACAACTGAATTGACAAAACAAAGGAAGGAAGACATATGAATGAATACACAAATAGACGAATATGTTAGGGATATGTTGTGTAGAATCCCGAAAGTATTATATAATATTTCACAGCGCTGAAAGCCCAGATTTTATCCTGTGTTCATTTATATTCATAAACAGATAAACAATGTTCCCAATTTCAGTGGATCAACAAGCATCTTCTGCGATCAATTATTAGGCAAGCGTAAAGGCAAGTGCTGCGCAACTCATGCAAAATTTGGAAAGCAACACCTTCAAGGAATGGTTATTCCACATAAGTCCAGGGCTTAAATCCTGAAATCGAATTAATGTCTACCTTGTTATCTCCTTTGGGATACCATGTCTGCGGTTTAACATCATTTGGGAAGTTCGTGAACCCTCCAACAATCTCCTCTTTATCCCCATTCACTCTCTGACTTCTGATCTGAAACCCACGGAAGGCTAGTGCATCTTTCGACCACATCGTCACTAAATATACGAGAGAATAAGGTATGGAAATTAATAACGTAAAATGGACCAAACATTTGGATCCACTATCACCAACAAATACCGGGTCAAATGTGATTTTTGCAGCCGAGGAAGCCAAAGTAACATTTATAACTTGTATTGTGGGAGATATATGACGGTTTGGGCAGAAGAAGTATACGTGTATGTAGACTGTATTGTTCGTACCAATATTCATTTGAGACTGTGACTAGGTATAGAACATTAGTTTAACTCTGGTACCTGTGAGATCTTGGCCAGGGCTATATGACGTAGGAGACACAGTGATGGTGTATGGAGCATCGGTAGTCTGTCTCTCGGCACCTTTGTGCTTCGGGAAGATGATAGCGCATGATTTGAAAGGTGCGCCAAAAGGGAAAGCCCCACCTAGAAGGAAAATAAATGGTATAACGAATGGTTTTGATAAAATCTTGAGGAACAATAGACTAAAGATAATAAGTTATTACAATATTTATGCTAATGGACACCCTTCACAAATCAAATGACATTTCTGCATCTTGGATATTCAACTACTTAGTATTTATTAATCAGTATGACTTAATCATATTTCAGAAATTAAAATTAGAATTGCAAGGGAAATATCATCCTCCGTACGCAGGGCTCCAAAATCCAGAATACCTTCTTTCTTTTCACCGGGGGGGGGGGGGGTACGGATTCTGGACACCTGCTTAGGATGATGGGAAACATCGGCTTCTGGCTTTTGAAAAGATGGTTTCCAACATTTGATGGCATTGTGGGAATCACAGTCTATACTATCCATAAGTTTTAAATAAAGTATTGACCTTTCCAATGAATGTCCAAGTAAAGGTGTAAGTAACATTTCTTAATGTGAAAACTCTTAGGATCAAACTTTTTGAGGTACATGCACAATACCTATAAATAATGTACACCTTTACTAAATTATAGCATCTATAAGAACACCACAAATGATTTCTCTTCAAAATTACAGTGTCAATCCGATTACTTATTTCAAGATATCATATATTGTATATGTATTAATATTGCAGATACATGGTGTTCGGGAAGCGATGGGAAATGCTGACATTAAATTTACAAAACAATGCTGAGAAGTATGAAACCAAATTAAAATCTCTGTGATTTATTTATGGTCTTACAAAGGGCCATTATCTCCGGAATGTTTCATTAAAATATTTCACTTTACTTCTCCGGAAGATTTTACCAAAATGTGGGAATGTCCAATATAAATCGTTTGTATTACTTCATGAACACCCTGTATAGTATACCCTTCACTGTATCAATGTACTCTTGTATTACTTATCTTTTAGCGGCATGCTTGTCAATATTAACCATATCTAAGATGAGATAGCAAAATCACACATTTTGTGGACTCTCAGAAATTAGTACAAATAACGATTCATATTTAAGTTGTAGCACTAACTGACAAAGCAGGAAGAGTCAAATTTGCAAAATTGGTACATTAAATGGAAATAAAATCACATTGTTAGATTTCCTTTTTGGTTTAAAAATCACCATAAGAAGAGAATTTTAAAATATTCCACACCTTTTGACATGTACAAAATAGAGATTTCAAATCTGTTTACACTGTGTTGGTAAGCTGATAAAGTATGAATATGAATAAAAATCTCTGATTGTTGCCCTGAAACTATATTTCCATTTTCTGACATCGACATATTGAGGTTAAAATAGGATAATTGGTTTTCGGATAATAATCCATTATGAAAGTTATCATGGCCTCTTATTAGTTCCGTTCTAGCTAGAAACAGAAAGTTACAATGAATACCAGAATGATAATTAGAAACATTTTAAGCAATATTAATATTGTTCTTGTCATATAACTATAGTAAAACCTGTATGTTTTGAACATTTTTTTGCCGAGAAAAACGTTTACTGTTGGTAGGTGTTCACTACAGAGAGGTTAATCTATATGGATGTCAATAGAGTATGTGGGGACGAAGGGTGTCCACTAGAGTCTAAGAGAGGTGCTCACTGAGACAGGATTTACTGTAATCTGCCATAGTGATGTATCGGCAGAATATTGAGACGACTCCATGTACAATTATTAGAAACTTGATGTTAGAATTTGAACCAGTGTTTCAGTTTATTATTGTAAAAGTAAAATGCTGACTCATGTTAGAACTACTATACGAGGGGTGATTACAAAGTTGCTTCCTTGATTCCAAGCCCTGAAGTGGCTATGGCAACCAATATTTCTTATGGAATATTTCTGTTATACTTAATGTTTTTCTGTCTTAATACGACATGCTGCACATCCTGTAAGAATTTTATTAGAATATTTTGAAAAATAAAGAAATGGAGAGATATATTATGAGAACATAACTCGTATTGTTGGGCTGGTGGTTTATATAAACCTGTTTTGTTAACTGTGTATACAAATCTCACTTTCAAAACTACATCCTAGTTTCCACAGAGATGGATGATGAGGATACTGCAACCTGCTGACATAAATTGTTGTATACAGTAATGTCAAAATCAACTTATTGAAAAACATTCCACGGCAAAAATGTAAAAAATTAGATCACAAATATCTGTCGGACTAGAATCCATTTTGTTACGAAAGTGCCTTACGTGACTGAGGGTCCCCACTGAGAGTAGTGCCCATAAAATGACACATTATTTCAACAGAGAGAATTGAAAGTCATATCTATAATTACTGTACAGCATCTATTTATTTCACCTTATTACTGTAAAGCTTTACTCATGATCATGCCTACAGACCCCCCCCCCCAGAATAACCTTGCACTCTGACCCCAGTGTATCCGAATTCATATTTGATTTGCACGAAACACTAGATAATCAAATTAACGTTGCATCCCACAAATCATGATCCCAGTGTACATATATTTAATTTGCATAAGATACCAGAAGCTGTCAAAGTAGCTATTGTCGGTGAGACAACCACGAGTTTCAAATTCTGAATATGACAAAATTATGCTTGTATGAAAAATGTCCTTTTGTTAATATTGATAACGTGCTTATATTAGTCTCTCAAAAATCAAGAGAGCAAGCCATAAGATTACAAAAGCCCACCAACCTTGAATGAACAATCCAGAGATGAAACACAGAACATGTAGTAAATTCCTCATGGCTGTTCAGATGTATAGTGAAGCTCAAAGTATTCGGCACAGCAAAACTTACTTAACTTTCATGATAAACAGGGACTCTCTCAAGGTTGTTTATATCTGTTTCAGGGATAGAAGTCCATTGCTGAATAGACTGACCTTATCCGTGGGCTGAGATACCATCCAGTTGTCCGAATCTCTCCTAAATGTGTGTGAACCATCTTGGAAATCGATGATGTTGGTATACTAACTCGGGAATAATAAGTTAAAGAATAATATATGGCAGAAAATATCCCTTGTGTAAATTATATAATAATGAGACAGTGCTCAAACATGAAGAAATTCAACAAGCATGTCATAAGAAGCTAAGTCAAACGATTAATACACTGTCCCCGATTACTCAAATCTCAGATGTTATTTAAGTATCAATATTTGACATGGTCCCCTAATCTTAGACAGTATTTGCCAAATGCGAAGGTACAAAAGTGATAAGTGGATAAATTCTAGAGTCTCTAGGAATTTATTTTAAGTAGTCTTATATCGTCCTTTCTCACCCACTCTTTATTTTCCGAGATAAAGCGCTCGAGATTCGTAAGATGCATTTGCAGAGTACAATCGATCAATCATAGATAGGATGGGTGAGGGTCGTGTACATTTTCTTGTCAAGAAGACCAAAGGGCAACATTAAAAACAACAACAACAAGAAAACTGATTCTAGAACTTTTGAGACATAGGTAAATATTATGGTATCGTTGTTTGGGTTAGATCTATATGTAGTGTACATAGTCCTGCTAGTAGTTTTCCCTGGACAATGTGTTTCCCTGACCCTGGCGTTTCACCAAGTCCCTCACTGATGTTTTCCCTGGTCCCTTGTGTTTTCCCTTGCTTAAATCGTTACCGCAGTTAATCCCCATGCCCCTGGTGCTGAAGATGTTACAAAGAGCAATACATAAATACAAACATATACATATGTATAGCCGAATCTTATGATCGGACAAACGTATTGTCTTAATACACTTTGAGGACATGGCACATAAATGAAATGATTTACATTCCCAAGATTTTGACGTGGGGATGTTCGATGTGTAGATTAAGAGAAGAAACTAAAAACTCAGTCATAAGCCTACCAACGAGAACTAACTGAATTGATACATTTTATAAATAAACTTTTCAATCAACGTCGGGAGCTACTTGAAAAAGGAATAAACTAGTTTGTAAGATCGTTATATTTAAATATTTTTCTTAACAATGCATTTAACTGTATAACTGTATAATTATGTCTTGTAATTGATTTTGTGAGGAAGTCAATTGTTTTGGCTTGAAACACAATACAATTTTGAATCTTATATCGATAGAAAGATGGCAGTTTGATTCATATATTCACACATATCTTTATTCTTCAGCATGTCCTGTTTAAATGATTACAGCATGATCATAGGCGTAGCCAGGGGGTGCAATCACACCCCCCCCCCTATAACCAATAAATATATAACCATGAGATAGAAGAAAATAGCTTTAAAATGCTTTTTATTTGCAGCTTCTAGCTTAATTTTGAAGGAAGTTGCATCTGTAAAATTCAAGATAAATCTTAACCCCCTGACTGAAAACCGATTTTTTGGGGCGATCGCAACACCCCCCCCCTCCCCTGACTGAAAGCTGGGTACGCCCCTGATGATCCTGATGATGATGTCCCGATTGTGATAATAGAACTTGAATGGTGGAGGAGTGGTATTAGACACTGTTTCTTTTAACGTTTGACCATGGTTTGGGATACTTGGGGTTTGTTTTCCTTGTAAATGGGGTACTCTACAGATGTTTCATTTTTCTTGCTGTGTTCTGTAACAATGCTTGGTCCTTTCTCATCTGGAACTTGTGCACATCACGGTGGGAAACAAAGGTATGAAGTTGACAATCAAACTGGTAAGCGAGTATGACTTGTATGCATACATATTCGTAAAATGGAAAATATTTTAGAGGATTTTTTATGACGTGAACCACAAACGTAAACATTTACGGGTCCCGTTTACGTACTATGAACTAAGGTGCCTTAAACTGAGCACTTCCGACGTAACGTAAACGTTTTTCTTTTTCTTAGCAGCCTTCGTTTTATGTTCTACTTTAAAAGTATAAACAATATTACTTTATTGACAAATTGATGAAAGACGTACAGTGAGAGTCAATTAAACATTTGCTTAAAACGTTGAAATTGAATTTATGTTTTATCCACCTCATGAATTTGCATTTACTAAATTAGATTTTTAAAATTGCTTGATCATACCCAGGTAAATCCAGGTGAGTTGCAAATCATTAGGACCTAAACAAGCCATGATCTATATTAATGTATACATTCATACCTCAATATATTTGTCCACGTAATAACGAAACAAACAATTCTATTACGTTATAACCTTCCAATATAAATGCCGCAGTAAGTAATGGCCATTGATCTGTCTTTAAACCAACTGAAACATTGATTGCCTTTATCAAATTTCAATAAACGGGACATCCTACGTATTAGTAACAGGTAACATGTAACGTAAATCAGATGGCGAATTAAAATTGGAACTTTTCGCAGAGATCCATGGCAACATTATAGAATACACAAACGATGAATGAATTCATGTGTGAAACAACATTTTTGATTAAGTTGTATAAGTAAACAATTTAATTTTGCTTCACATATTTTAAAATATTTATACCAGCAAACTATTATAGTGATAATTTATTTGATTTAATGGCTAGCCCAAATGCATTTTGTTAGAGTGACAATATCAGCGAGACATGAAACGTTGGAAGACAGTCACGGCGCCAAAGAACTCCGACACCATCAACATATTCCTGGGAGGAAATGTCATGATCGGACGCGGGATCGATCAAATATTCCCTGAATCTTCCGATCCGTACATATTTGAAAAGAATACACAAGATGCCAGAGACTATGTGAAACTAGCGATTAAGAAAAATGGAAAATTCTATCTGGAGCACGAAAAGCAAGCGATTGAGTACATCTGGGGATACGCAATGAAAACATGGGAAAAGTACAAACCAGATGTTAAACTAATCAACTTGGAGACAACACTAACGACAAGTGACACTATGTGGCCGATGAGACCAACGCAGTTAAGAGCGCACCCAACAAATGTCAAATCTCTGAAAATTGCGGGGATTGACTGCTGTGGAATAGCGAACGACCATGCTTTAGATTATGGCTATCAGGGTTTAGATGAGACTGTCAAGGTACTCAAAGAAGCAGGAATAAAATACACGGGAGCTGGTCGTTGCACAACAGAAGCAAAAGAACCTTGTATATTTGACATAGCAGATAAGGGTCGAGTTATTATATTTTCTTTATGTACACACTCTAGTGGTGTACCAAACTATTGGGCAGCTACTACTAGTGGCACCACTGGTTTTGGAGTTAACACTATCAATATTGACATCAACACGACTGACTTCATTAATCTCAAAACACAAATTAAAGAAGTGAAGAAACCCAGGGATGTGATCATTTTGTCTCTTCATTGGGGAGAAGAATGGAACGCGCAAATTCACCAATCCCTAAGGGAATTTGCACACAGGGCAATAGACGAGGCCGAGGTTGATGCTATTCACGGTCACAGCACTCATTTTCCACTAGGGATAGAGGTTTACAGAGAAAAACTGATCCTCTATGGGACCGGGGACCTGATTAATGACACAGAAGGAATGCCGGGTAAATACGAGGACAGCCAATGTGATTTAGGATTCATGTACTTTGCCAAAGTGAACCTCGACACTGGAAATCTGATCGAGTTGAGGTTGGTTCCATTTAGGATCAAACAATTCAGATTGTGTACCCCGAACCCCAGAGATGTTAATCTAGCTGTGAACCCACTTAGAAGGAGATGTAAAGAGTTTGACACTGATGTTATACCAGCCATGGATGGGCATGGTTTCTGGTTAGCCTTTAAATAACAAAAAGGTCAATACATCTACTAGTGTAGGAATCCTGTATTGACCTGTTTATTACTTAAAGGCTAACCAGAAACTTCAAGAAGACGTATTTTTGCAAAAAATGAACGTCTTCTTGAAGTTTTCAAAAATATTTTGAAACATTTTAACTTAAAAAAATCATTAAAAAACAATGTATTTTACTTTCAAGAAAAATGAGCCCAAATCGTACGAAACTTTCAAATTACTCGTTGGTTGTTTTGCCGATGGACAATTTTGACATTTTGATCAATTTTGATTCGCAACATGCTACTCGGACTCTCCGAACATCAGCAACATGGTCACGGCGCGGTATCCAAACTGCGTGCATACTATGCACGCTGTTTGAAACACTGACAAACTGCGCGCATATCAACATTGCATCATACAAGTTGGAGGCTGTGTTTTCAAATGTCATTTTAAGACATTTATTCTGCATTGTTTTAGAGTGTCATACGTCCATTCGGTGGCGATTACTTGATTCTACCATGTAATAGCGAAAGTTATGTCAAGATGAATGTAGGAAAAATCTGAGTGTTGCTTGTAAAATTAGTCTATCTCCACATTATGGTAGGCCTACTGTCTGATAAAAAAAACTAACCTTGTATTTCCAGTACTTTTCATCCTTTTTGGGAATCGTGTCCTCCTCGTCTGCCATTTTTAAATAGGCGCGCAGTTTGTCAGTGTTTCAAACAGCGTGCATATTACGCACGCAGTTTGGATATCGCACCGTGATGGTTAGGTTGCGATTTTCTATTCGATGAAAGTGCAGTTTAAAGTATAATTACTGTAAGGAATAAATGTGACAATAGATGTGGATATCCATACTCACACAACAATGCGTGAACAAGACAATATTTCAGAACCATTTTGAAGGTTAAAAATGCAACATGTGTTACAGACGCCGAATCCCAAAATGCACCAAAATGCCAACTCTTAATAACTTGATAAGACAACTTAAACAAATCTTCATAACTCTGTTATCCAGTATGTGTTTGGAATCATACGAGGGTTGTCCCATGAGTCTTGAAATTTTTATTCTAATTCATAGAATATTTGAGATACAATGATAAAAATTTAGATTTATTTCTACTATCTCTGTAAGTTTCATAGCATAATAAGATCATTTGGCAATGTTACAGATGATTTAAAATGTAATGTTGGGGGTACCCGGGGCAAAAAACAGGATTTAAAATACAAATATGACGTAAAAATTAAGGATTTGGGAACCCCTGGCTCAGCTCAACACGTTGCCTTTTCTGCTCCTCTGTCAAAATATGTGGAACGAATCTAGAGGCTACCTTTGACATCCCAAGGTCTTTCTTCATCACTATGTGAGCAGTACTCTTACTAATATCAAAGTCTAGAGCGATCTTCCTACACTGAGTATAGTTCTCCTTTCTGCACTTATAAGTGTACTCTGCAATATGTGGTATGAGATCGTCACTGGATTTTGATCTTCCTCTTCTAGGACTGATCATCCTCCAGGCTGGTATCTGTAGTTTTTAACTTCTTCTGCCACCTCCATATTGGAGGTGCACTCGGAGTATACTAGTACTGTCTATATACTTTTTCCATGGCTGTTCTTGTTTGTGTAGGTGTATGCCCTTAAGAGACGTGGTATTGCACAACTGCACACAAAGATTTAACATCTGGTGACAAAATCCCTGCCATTTTGATTTTCAAAATGCTGTGGCTTTGTACCAAATTTGAGCAATTGTGCTAGTTTATTATGACATCACAGAGGTATTTCATAAGATTTTACCAAGAATACAGTGTTTTTGTCAATCTTGACAGGTAATTCACAATTTAAGATGCATACCATCCTTTAAAATTCTTAATACTCCCATGGCTGCATTTTACATTTTTACTATATTTCATTACTGCCCCACCCCCTGACTCCCCCGGTTACCATAGCAACCATAATAGTTACTCGAGTTCATAATTTTGTTATGAAACTATCACATGTTGAAGGTAATTGATTAATCTTGATACATACCAATTTTCAGCCAAATACATTAAAATCTTTTTGAATTAGAATAAAAATTTCAAGACTTATGGGACAACCCTCGTATTTGACACATTTGCATCTTGTTCAGTGTTCTTCCATTGAAACAGGTTTCATTTGTCTATTCCAAATGGTCACCATTTTTGGCAATTCACAAAACATGCTTAAAATGTCGGTCTTGTATTTGGAGGTAAACTTAAACGCACCGGACGTTTTCTGACTATACGCTCTCAGATATCTTATGTATCTTATGTAATGGCTCCCATTTCCCTCCATATCTCTTGTTTCAACTCTCTGGTGCTTCTGCAGTTGTTAATATACACATTTTCTACGAAATAGCCCTAAAGATAAATTCCGGGTGTTCATATTGGGTGATATTGATATGTTTTGGCATTTGGAGCATGTTTTGTGAAATTACGATAAAATCGTGACTATTGGAAATAGACCAATGAAACTTTATAAAATGAGAGAATATAAAAAAAGTTCAATTGTACCAAATATGACTTAATAAGAGAGAATCAGAGATAGCGAGCAGGCTAAACAAAAAATTGTTCCAATTTTAGAATATTTTTGGTTCATCTTTTTGGCTCGCGTCCTTCCTTGTCATGTTTATTTTCTAAAAATCACAAAAGTACATACTTTATTACAGGAAAACTAAAGATTTTTACAATAATAATTTTCTATAAGAATGGTTACCATTCTTATTATTTGGGAGAATTTAAACATTTTTCACCCACTTTTGCACTTTGAATCATTAATAATTACTTCACCAATTTATTACATATTGTGAATCTTTTTGGAGATATTGTATTTGACATTGTAAGGAATGGATTGGTAGGTCAATAAGACAAGTTGCTTGTAATTTTGTCACCCCCTATAGATCTGATTCTGCCTTTAAATCCCCTTACTGGATAATTAAGTGATTAAGATATGTTTGGGTTACCTTTTTTGGCTCATCCTGTAGTTTGAAGTATTTGTCATGCATCATGCCCTTCATCTTCCGGATATCGTCGATGTGCAAGATGAACAAACTCACACCGGCCTTATAAATTATACATTTGTTACTGGGAACTATCAGAGTTTTTAGTTAATAAATCCACCAGAAGCTTATCAGGCTATGGGTGTTTATTTGACAAAATATTTTACTTAAAATTACCATTTGTATTCGTTCAACTTCGCTTCTTAAAAGAGAGCCTCGTCTTCATGTAGTTTCATTATCTGTAAAGAAAAACAACAAAATTTTGGCTTGAAATATAAATTGACATTGCACTTCCAATACCTTCGATTTTTCTAATCTTTTTTCAAGGTCGGAAATTGATGACAAATCTGAAGAATTTATGAAAATAGTCGTTCCCACGTAAAACAATGGGAAATGGTTCTCGCAAAAATACAAGTAAAGTAGACAACTGAATTTACTAATTTTATTTTAGGGAAAATTGATATTTTTCTTCAGGTTCAACAAAGTTATTGGTGTCCAAAGTCAAAATTATTTATCAAGAAACCTGTGGAGGTTTAGGAAATAAAGTTTTTTTTTTATTTTATTTATTTATATATTTCTACAAAGAATACATTAAACAAGTGCACATGTGCTTGTGGCTGGGCATCAGCATTATCAGCCACGTTATATGATAAAAACTCAATTAACAGAATTCAATCAGACATTAAAAAGGGGTTGTATTTGTGGAGGGTTACAGTGATGGGGATGACCTAGACATTTTTACATCGTTCAAAAAAGATGGCACTACATTTGAGGATATTTAAGTTTACAGCTTTAGGTAGTCTTTTATCACCATTTAGGGTAAGGGAGAGTTTGTCTCGTTGTGATCTGTATTTAGAAGAATATTCTATGTTCATATATTTTAATTCATTTTCAAATTCTGCCCAAAATGTTGATCTTAGATTGCAGTGGAAAATTACGTGATTGGTTGTTTCACCATCCATTCCACACTGGCAAATAGGGGAGTTTACATTAGTGAAATTATGAGCATAGAGGTGAGCCTTAAAAATGAGATCACATCGCACTCTATTGAAAATTATTTCTTGTTTTCTTGAAACGGAGAGTTCTGATGAATTTGTAACATCGTCATTGAATAGAACTATTTTAAGTCTGGATTTGAATATACTAAGGGTAGGTGAATTTCTTATTTCAGGTGAGAGCTTATTCCATTCAGTAAGTGTTTTTGATATGCAAGATCTATTAGAAAATGAGGATTTATTTGGAATTGTGTAGCTCAGTTGATTTCTTAGACCATAAATAAATAAAGTTAGTTCACTTACATCTCCACCTTTTATCACAAGTATTTCCAATGCAAATTATTCATATAAAAATTAAAACAATGTTTAGAAAAATGCAGGCCCGTTGACAGGGGGGGGGGGGTCGATTGGTTCGAACGAACCCCCCCCCCCTGGCCAAAAATTCTTTATGCAGTTTTCACCATTCTGAGCACTTTTTAAGTGATTTTGGCCATATTTGGAAAAAAAATTGTCAAAAGTGAATCCCCTTGGCAAATCCTGGCTATGGGCCTGATATGTGTTAGCAAGATTCAGAAATTTGATTTTCGCTGAATGTAGAATGTAGTCACAAAATATTTTGGGTCAAGTGTCAATGTCAAATTACAATGCATAATAAAACTTTGCTTCTTGACGTTTCAACTTATCTTGAAGTAGAAACGTAATTTTTTTATTGATACTTTAAAAGATTTATATGTCGTGTGTGCGTTTTGAAGTCAGTTTAACTTTTGCCCCACTTCTCAAGTGGTATCGTCATCATACTTTATTGATCATTTGATTGGTTGGTCAATAGTCGCACATGCCCAAATATGGTTCGAGTATCGTGTGTCTGGGCCTCAGAATGCGCTAAGAGCGTCGGTGCGGGTTTATGAAGTCAAACGCATTCCGGCAATCAATGAACAAAGTATCTTAAGAAAACAATTTAGTGTAAATTACAAACTGGACAAAAGTAAAATAATCGAACCTATCTAATATACGCTCTCGAATAGCCTAATAGGAACAA